ATTTTAATCCCTGTTTCGGAACAAAGCAATCGATCTACAGGTGTGAAAACACCCTAAGGTTAACTAATGAGGTCTTATTGTAAAGTGATACCTATTGGTCTTTATAGTTCTTTTGCACTTTAATCTGTGTAAAACTTTTAACTTTATACATTTTTCTGTATTGCTTTATTGCATTTAAATGTTCAGTTATTTTTGTTATAAGAAAAAAGTTATTAAACCTGTTATACTGTATTATGACAGCACTTTTTTAAACAAAATTTCAATATCGTGATAATACCGCATACCGTGATAAAAGCATTACCAATTAATCGCAACATGAAAATTTTATACCGGCATATCCCTACACAGGACTAAGACTTAAATTAAAAATAGCTGACAAAATTAACTTCAGCTGGAAATACGTCACTACACTGAAATAAAGTCGGCAGCAACTTCCGGTTCATGCGGACTTTAACCTTGGAGCTTAACCTTGTTGCAAATGTCTGTATGTCTTCTGGCTCTCTGGGATGGAGACTCAGAACTTGGTTAACAAAGATTAATAACTTCTGTAGCAAATGTAGCTATTGCTCATTGTGAATGTTAATGCATTAACTAAGGTTAACTAATGAGGTCTTATTGTAAAGTGATACCTATTGGTCTTTATAGTTCTTTTGCACTTTAATCTGTGTAAAACTTTTAACTTTACACATTTTTCTGTATTGCTTTATTGCATTTAAATGTTCAGTTATTTTTGTTATAAGAAAAAAGTTATTAAACCTGTTATACTGTATTATGACAGCACTTTTTTAAACAAAATTTCAATATCGTGATAATACCGCATACCGTGATAAAAGCATTACCAATTAATCGCAACATGAAAATTTTATACCGGCATATCCCTACACAGGACTAAGACTTAAATTAAAAATAGCTGATAAAATTAACATTAGTTGGAGCTAAACGCTGCAGGACAGTAGCAATCCAGGACCGAAGTTTCCTGTTTTTGTTGTATGTGAATAAAATCCTAAATTCTGGTCATCAGAAGGCTCGGTTTAAAACACTCAAATCATATAATTTATTTTAATCATGACTTTATGCACTTTGGACAACACTTGTAAAGGGTCATGAAACCCCAAAACACTTTTTTTTTTTCTTTTCTTTTTTTAGATGTGAACAGATATGTACAGGCTGCACATCACTAAAAGCACTCATAAATTTGATCGAGTGGAAATCTCTTTGGCTCTTCTTTCCTGATCTTCAGTCAGGCTCAGTGGGGCGATTTTAAATTTGCTGGTGGGTTAATCCGCCTCTGGCTCTCTGGGATGGAGACTCAGAACTTGGTTAATCCGCCTCTGGCTCTCTGGGATGGAGACTCAGGACAAGCTGCATCTGTTGTGTTGCTGAATGAAGACCCTGCATGAAGGGTATCTATTAATGCTGGGGTGGGCAATTAATTTTCCCAAGGGGCCACATGAGAAACTTGGGCGGTTGTTGAGGGCTGGACCAATACACGACTCCTTCAAATCCTGGGGTCTCGCCTATGGTGCACCAAATCACTTAAAGTAATCAATAAAACTGGGAAAGCAATACAACCCCAGAAAAATGTATAAATCAAGCAATCATTTATTAGTATGTAGATAAATAGTTTAAAGGGGTCGTGAACTGCATTTTAAATGGTCTTCTCAGGTGCATTTATGTTAGTAGGACTTTTATATCAACTTGGTTAATCCGCCTCTGGCTCTCTGGGATGGAGACTCAGAACTTGGTTAATCCGCCTCTGGCTCTCTGGGATGGAGACTCAGAACTTGGTTAATCCGCCTCTGGCTCTCTGGGATGGAGACTCAGAACTTGGTTAATCCGCCTCTGGCTCTCTGGGATGGAGACTCAGAACTTGGTTAATCCGCCTCTGGCTCTCTGGGATGGAGACTCAGAACTTGGTTAATCCGCCTCTGGCTCTCTGGGATGGAGACTCAGAACTTGGTTAATCCGCCTCTGGCTCTCTGGGATGGAGACTCAGAACTTGGTTAATCCGCCTCTGGCTCTCTGGGATGGAGACTCAGAACTTGGTTAATCCGCCTCTGGCTCTCTGGGATGGAGACTCAGAACTTGGTTAATCCGCCTCTGGCTCTCTGGGATGGAGACTCAGAACTTGGTTAATCCGCCTCTGGCTCTCTGGGATGGAGACTCAGAACTTGGTTAATCCGCCTCTGGCTCTCTGGGATGGAGACTCAGAACTTGGTTAATCCGCCTCTGGCTCTCTGGGATGGAGACTCAGAACTTGGTTAATCCGCCTCTGGCTCTCTGGGATGGAGACTCAGAACTTGGTTAATCCGCCTCTGGCTCTCTGGGATGGAGACTCAGAACTTGGTTAATCCGCCTCTGGCTCTCTGGGATGGAGACTCAGAACTTGGTTAATCCGCCTCTGGCTCTCTGGGATGGAGACTCAGAACTTGGTTAATCCGCCTCTGGCTCTCTGGGATGGAGACTCAGAACTTGGTTAATCCGCCTCTGGCTCTCTGGGATGGAGACTCAGAACTTGGTTAATCCGCCTCTGGCTCTCTGGGATGGAGACTCAGAACTTGGTTAATCCGCCTCTGGCTCTCTGGGATGGAGACTCAGAACTTGGTTAATCCGCCTCTGGCTCTCTGGGATGGAGACTCAGAACTTGGTTAATCCGCCTCTGGCTCTCTGGGATGGAGACTCAGAACTTGGTTAATCCGCCTCTGGCTCTCTGGGATGGAGACTCAGAACTTGGTTAATCCGCCTCTGGCTCTCTGGGATGGAGACTCAGAACTTGGTTAATCCGCCTCTGGCTCTCTGGGATGGAGACTCAGAACTTGGTTAATCCGCCTCTGGCTCTCTGGGATGGAGACTCAGAACTTGGTTAATCCGCCTCTGGCTCTCTGGGATGGAGACTCAGAACTTGGTTAATCCGCCTCTGGCTCTCTGGGATGGAGACTCAGAACTTGGTTAATCCGCCTCTGGCTCTCTGGGATGGAGACTCAGAACTTGGTTAATCCGCCTCTGGCTCTCTGGGATGGAGACTCA